ACTGTCAAAACCTACGGACAAAACACAAACAACAGATACCTGAGGACTCAGGAGAGTCAAACCCAGAGAAGCAGCTGTACAGGGGAGGAGTTTCCCATTTCTTCCCTTTTGTTTTCTTCCAGCCTAGTCCTCAGCATGGGCTCCAACGCAGAACTCTGTGGTGCAGGAAGCTAAAACTCTAATAGATTAAACTCCAGCTTTCTGACCAGAGGAACCAACAGAAGGGGCCCCTGCAGTCCCCAAAGAATGGGGGTGAGGGTCTCTGTGGGATTTTTTTTTCTCTCTTTTTGCTCCTATGGTTTTCTCCCAAGGACAGTCCACAGTCACAGAGCTGCATGGTGGTGGCGATGAAGGCAGGTAAAACTCTGACAGAGGCAAGACCCCGTCTCTACTATAAATAGAAAGAAATTAATTGGCCAACTAATATATATAGAAAAAATTGAGCCAGGCATGGTGGCGCATGCCTGTAGTCCCAGCTACTCGGGAGGCTGAGGCAGGAGGATCACTTGAGCCCAGGAGTTTGAGGTTGCTGTGAGCTAGGCTGACGCCACGGCACTCACTCTAGCCTGGGCAACAAAGTGAGACTCTGTCTCAAAAAAAAAAAAAAAAAAACTCTGACAGAAATGCCATTTTTCTGGCCAGAAGACTAGAGGGAAAGGAGCCCCTGAAGGCTGGAAAGTAGGCAAATGAAGAGAAGAGAAACCAGATAGTTCCCATAATACTGTGTATAAACGCACACCAATCCCAGGCTCACCCCTGAAGCCGTGCAGGACAGAGCCAAAGCAGCACAGCAAATGCTTGGAGAACTCAACTAAGATTTAAACCACGGCCAAGTCTCAGACTAACCTCCGAGTGGCATGTGTGCAGGACAGATGGAAAAGAGCACAGGAAAGGCTTTGGAGACTGAACTGACACTGGAATCACTACCCAGACATGGCAGTCTGAACCTAACCAGGGTGACGGCCTGTTTAATTATTTAAAAACAAAACAAAAAAAAAAAAACCATTCTACCGAGGATTGATTATGTAACAGGATCCAAACAGAACATTTACAATGTCTAGAATACAATCCAAAATTACTTGACATGTCCCCAACACAAAAACAAGACAGGAAAATATGACCCATTCTCAAGGTAAAACAATTAACAGATGTCAACCCTAAGATAACCCAGATTCTAGGAATGACCAGTGACTTTAAAGCACCTATTGTAACTATGTTCCATGAAGTAAAAGTAAAATGAGCAGAGTGACATTCTCAGCACAGAAAACAGAAACTAAAAAGAACTGAATGGAAATGTTGAACCCCAAAACATAAAGCCTGAAATAAACTCAGTGGACGGGCTCAACTGCAGAATGGAGACGACAGAGGAAAGAGTCAGTGAACCTGAAGTCAGATCAATAGGAGTGTATGCACTCTGAAGAACAGGCAGGCAGGCTGGGGAAGGAAAACAGACAGGGCTTCTTTGGTGACCTGTTTGTTGGCCAATTTCAAAATGTCTAACATTCACAAAACCGAAGTATCAGAAGGAGAGAAGAAAGGGATTAGTGCAGAGAAACTACTTCAAGAAATAATGGCTGAAAACTTCCCAATTTTAGTGGGAGACATAAATTTACAGTTTCTAAATGTTCGATGAACCCCAAACCCCAGAGTTTAAAGTAAAAAAAAAAAAGTGGTTTATTTCCTGCAGACTTTTTCTTAGTAACACATTCAAGCTTCTCATAAGCATCCTAATTCCTAAGCTTTTTAATTCATTTTTGCCTTCAGTGAACAAATAATATACTTTAATTGAAAACACCATTCATTGTAAGAAGCACTGTTATTTTACATGACATTCTAAAATGCTGCCAATTTTATGGTGCCATTGTAAAGATCTGTTCTGATTTCACAGATATAAAAATGTTCTTTTAAAAAATTGCATTTTAGAATAAATATAAAACATACAGTGTTAGGCACCCTCTGAGTACTAGACAAAGTGGTAAAGAGAATGGACACAGTCCTCATACCGAATGTTTATATCACTCCTCCAGTAACATTACCCACTGCTTTCTCCTTGGTCTTAGCACAAAAGACAATATGCATTTAGAAAAACTCACTGATCTATATTCATAAAACACTTGTGCAAAATCCCACACCCTTATGCCCTCCTCTCCTCACAATCTAACACCACCCTCAGTTTCTACCCTAATCATTCTCTTATTCTTCATTGGGCCATTTACTCTCTATTTTTTCTTGAAAGGGTGACAGGCTAGGTATTTTTTTCATTTTTAATTTAAGCCTAATATTTTCCCCCCAAATAAAACTCCTCGCAAAATTCCACCATGTTTGCACACTACTCAAACTGATTTCTCTACTGTAATGAAAAATCACTTTATTTATTTTTGTCTCTTAACCTGGGACAGTTTTATGTACCTTTAGAGTCCATTTCATTCTCAAGTTATTTATAAAATACTAAGAGAATGCAATGAAAATTAAGTTTTTAAAATATAATAGGGAGGTTTCTGGGTTTTTGAAAAACTAGCATCAGTCATTAAGTGACAGCCAAAGACACAGTTCTCTTCATAGTATGCGACCTCTTACTCCCACTTCTGAAATAAAACATAAGCTGTACAAGCCTGGGCGTGCATCCTACCAAGATCTTACTCATAGCTATTAAGCCTTTGAGGGAAAAAAACCTAAGACTTCCCTCTACCATAATTCCTTCTTTTTTTCTAGATGTTTGATTTTTATTTAAAAAAAAAAAACAAAAAACACCAGATTTTTAACCCCTGCATTTCAAGTGTATATTGCTGACCCAGCTAGAACACTCAGAGTATTCTTATTCATGATGGCTGCCCTGATGTGCCCATGGTGGGCAAACAGCTGGCGTGCTCTAAGACTAGCCCTGATCAAATGCCCATTTGGATACCCCACCTCCACCTCTAAGTCACTGTTCTTTTCATCCCCAGTGACAAAGGGTTTTTAAAAAATGTAATACTGGTTTACTAATCAAATGGACTTAACATGGTCAAATTTGGATTTCAAACTGACCAGAGAGGCCTTTTACACGGGGCATGGAGTACACTGGAAAATGGTACATGATTAGGCAGCCCTGTGCCAGAAGAAACAGTCAGCATTACTGAGTATATACAGTCATCCTTCAGGGTCCAAAGAAAATTGGCCCGGAAACCCCCCATGGATACCAAAATTCATAGGTGTTCAAGTTCCATTTTACATACAAAATGGCATAAATGCATATTTGCATATAACCTATGCACATCCTTCCACATAAATCATCTCTAGATTATTTGTAGTACCAGATACAATGCTGACACATCCGTTCACTCCTATGGATTCAACGTAGTACTCAGCATGCCACAAATTCAAATTTTGCTTTTTGGAACTTTGTGGAATTTTCCCCCCAAGTATGTTTGATCGGGGAGGTTGGTGGGATCCACGGCCGCAGAGCCCACCGATAGGGAGGTCCCCTAACTGTAGAGATCCTCCAACCGACAGTACAACGTACGCCTGACAGTGGTCATGACACTGTGGCTTTGAATCGGGCGAACTTCAGACAGAAAACAGAGGTTTCTTCTCTGCAACATCCTTTTGGTTTCTCGCGAGCCTAGCTGAGGGTCAGATACCCAAATGCTCATGTCGCAAACAACTCTGCAGCATAAACTACAATCCCAGAGAGCCCCCTACGTTGGCTCTTTTTAAAAACAACTCACTGCTAGGTCCCCGTGTACAGATCCTAGGAGATAAGCTTGGAGCCTCTGTATAGCTCAGTCTGGAAACTAAAATGTGGGAGTAAAAACTACAAACGACTTTACTTCATTTGCTGTGCCATGTGTGGGGCCACCCATCAGGCCCAGTTTTGTAAGAGAACTAAGCCTAGTGTGTGCCCAGACACACACTGAAGAGTTCAATTCTCGAGCCATCAGAATATCAGCCATTTTAGGAGGCCTTGGGGGAAAACGACCGAGTATTTTTTCCCAATAAAGCGTACTCACATCCTCTTTTTGCTCTAAGTGAGGGGTGGGTAGCTAGAGGGGTGAAGGTCGGGAGTTGAAAATATTATTTGACAAAATAATTATTTGTGCAAGCTGCTGCGCTGGCGGGACAGGTCTGGGACTTGGCACGGAGGAGTACCCGCCTCACGATCTGATACCCGCCACCGAGCAGCCACCACCTGCAGCCCGGGGCCGGGCCCAGGGGAGGGGCGCCAGCAGCCCCTGGCCATCAGCCATGCTACCTCTCTTCGGGGCACTGGATCAGACACAGTAGATAACCAGCCAAAAAAATTTAAAATAAAGAAAGAAAGAAAAGGAAAAGACAAGGGGAGAGGGGATGGGGAGGGAGGAAAAACCTAAAATTTGGACTCAGAGGGTCTTTTCAAATACTTTAATCCTTTCATACTGATGGTTCCTGGAGCGTCTGAGGCTGGCACCGGACCCTACACCGGGAAAATCCGACTCCCTAAGCCAATGCGTTAAAGAGAAGACTGCTAATCAGCTAAATAGAAACTGGAATCTGTTCACATGAAGTCTCTTTTTTCTTCCATCACCAGAGGGACACCACAGTGTTCTGAAATACACTCTTGACATCATTTGGCAGGCAACCCTATTTTGCTGAACATGATTCATCCCTAAGGTTATTGTTTTTAATATTAGAAAGTGAGCTTTTAAGTGCCAAACAAATTTTGCAGCAGGGGGACAAAAGATATTCCAAGTGGTCTCACCGGACCTTCCACCAACTGTGTCCACCAAATGGCTTAAAAGAAAACCTTCCCGTGGTGCTTCAGAAATGAAGCAGACACATAGCTATGTCCAACTATTACCTAATACAAGACTTTGTTCTCCAAGTACGGAGTGTTTATACAAACTCAGGTGGGCAAAGCAGTGGAGTGAGAATCGAGGCGTGTAAGCAACAGAGAAAATTAGCAAGCTTGGTGGAGGCCAAGTGGCCAGGCCTCAGCAGAAGCTGCAGGGGCCACAGAGGCTACCTCCTCAACCCAGACCTACCTCCTGTCCATGTTGCCACTGACCATGAGGTTGGGTGGGCTGTCCCTGAGGTTGACACATGTGAAGTCACCAAGAGAATTACCCAGCTTCGAGAGGCAGCGTTCTGCTTCCAGGCTGTACACCAGGATCTGATAAAGGAAGAAAAATATGTGGGTGACATAATTCCATCAACAGACCAACATCCAGCGCTTGTCATGTCACCATCATCCAGGGCAGGATCATCACCACTCAGCTCCTGTTAAGATGTTCTGTGCTTAATTTCCTGACCTTTGCCAGGTTACTGATAGTATAAGGTTAGGGCTATTAGAATGACAGAAAGAAATGCAAAAAAAGAGAAAAATGCAAAGAATTCTTCATGCCAAGGTACAAACTCAGGACACAAAGGAAACCAACAACAGGGAAATCAGGTATTCTAATTTCTTATCAAAGAAAAAAGGTCTGTAAACTAAGAGTCACAGACAGCTTTCCCATTAATCAAATGAGAAGCAAACAATCAGGAAGCTTGCAGATGAGCCAGCATGGGTTCTAGTCCTGTATTTATACCACAGAAGGTAAAAGCAACAACAATACAAGTATCCAGGAAGGTGAAGTTTGCATAGCCATTAGATGACTCCTTTGGACTAAACTATGAACCAAAACACAAACTCTTATTCCCAAACATTTCTCTCTTCAGTCACTCCTCACTTGCTAATGTTAGGAAGCTCTGTTCCATAAGGTGTGAAAGTAAATAAGAAGGTACCCTTGATCTCTAGACAATGCATTTGTTATACTAGAACATTTCCATGCCTTCTCTCTAGCAAAAAGAAAAACAGATGATTCATAAGGAATCTTCCTGAAGATTAAGTCTTTTACCTAAAAAAAAAAAAAATCTTAGTGATGCAACTTAATCCAATTAACATTAAGTGCTTGCTGTGGACTAGTCACCATTGTAGGTGCTGAGGATACAGTCTCTGCCCCAAAATTCACAGTTCATAAGCCTCTTCATTAATACACACACCAAGTTCTAAGCACACTACTGAGCATACTTATTTTGTTGATCATGTGGTTAATATTTTTAAATTAATCAGTGAACTCAAAAGTTTTAATATCAATAATTTGGTGAGATTTCTCCTCTCAGTACACACATGGAAATAATGCGCTTTTTCTGGTTAACCTACACATTTATCACTTATCAGTGTACAGATTTTTATTGCGGTATTGAGAAGTTAATAATGAACAGTCTCATTGTCAACACATATTTCTAACAAGTGAATCATTGGAAATTCCTAATAGTCAAATCAGCACTATAATATTAACTACTAATAATAGCTTCTGAAAGGAAAGACAACAATTTTTTTTTTTTTTTTGAGACATAGTCTCGCTATGGTGCCCTGGCTGGAGTGCAGTGGCGTCAGCCTAGCTCACAGCAACCTCAAACTCCTGGGTTCAAGCCATCCTCGTTCCTCAGCCTTCCGAGTAGCTGAAACTATAGGCATGTGCCACCACATTCAGCCAATTTTTCTATTTTTTTGTAGACACAGGGTCTCGCTACATTGCTCAGGTTAGTCTCAAAATCTTGGCCTCAAGCAATCCTCCCACCTTGGCCTCTCAAAGTGCTAGGGGTATAGGCGTGAGCCACTGCACCTAGCCCAGTTTCAAAATTTAAAATGCCCTCTTAATCCATAAAAAAAAAGTTTCTGACTCAGAAAATTTCAACAATTTAAAAATATCCAAAAAAGATTATTCTTCCAATTAAGAATATTGAAATAATCAAATCTTCTATCTTCAGTACATAACCTAAAAATTACATAAGATCAGCTCCTGGAGGGAGAAAATAAATGAAAAACAGCAACCTCATGGTCTATAACAGAGGCAATATTCTGTACCTACTCATCATTACAGAACATTCAGTATTTTGGACTCAATATTTTCTTGTTTTTAAAATATTTCAACTTATAAAAAAATAAAATATTTCAACTTCTATAGCAGGAAAGTAGGCCTTAAATCAGCAAAATGTCCATGGTAAATATAAGAATTGAAATCTGATATTGGGTAGGTTCATATGTTTTTACTTTTTCTAGAAGTTTTTTTATGGATGAATCATTTCTAAGTGATATAGTGAGATCTAATCTCTCTCCAAAAAGACTCTCTGCAAATTCATCATAAAGACATCTAAATTAGTAGTCAAGAATCAAATAGTTTCTAAATGTTTAATAATTCAACGACTTAGAACTATCTGAAGAGTACCTTTACCATTACGTTTAGTTAAAGACCACAGAGATTAGAAAACACATTACCCATCGCAAAGGCGGTTCTTTCCATGTTACAAGTCCCTTAACGACCTTTACCATTTCTCTCTCCCTCCCACTCTCTCTCTCTTTTAATAAGGTTGAGCAAATGGGACTTCATTTTATCTGATTGCCACACACTAGTGAGATTAATTATTCATGCTCACACTCTCCCTCTTGTTAAGGCCATGCATTAGACTAATTTTTCTCTTTATTGCCCTAGTTGGGTAAGTCTCAACTCACAGCCACTTGACTCCTCCTCAGAGGTGTGCAGACATGCTGGAAAGAAGAAAAAAGAACTACCCATAGCTCAAATCTTAGAGAAAATGTTCTACGCTAATGTGACCGCCAAGTCAATAGATGGTGGGGAATTTTAAGTACCAGATGTATATTACAGAAGAGCTTAAACAGTGATTACAGAGCAAATTTTTTACAGGTGTTAGATGTCTCTAACAATGATCTAAAACAGCTAAGCCATGTTGAGACTGCTTGTGTGTTTTACAAAGATAGCTACAGGAAATTCAGTGTGTAGACACATGATGCTGGGTGGCTTTCCTTTCTCTTTGGCTTCCAGGTAGATCTGGAAGACAAAGGGTAAGAAGCAAGCATTGTCTTTAAAAAAATTCTATAAGAAAGTTTTTTTTTTCTTAGACATCTTAAAGTATTTCCATAAATCCTAGTCTTAGAATCTTAACTTTCCATTTTGTCAAATATTCTGATTTCTTTGAAATCTGTTTTTTAAAACTTTTATTTTAATTTCAGATATAATACATTTTGTAACAAATTCTAACATAATAGAATTACATAAAGAAAGTGGTAGCCCTCTGTATATTCATCTCTCAGGAATAATCACTTTTAATAGTTTGGTAAACATACTTCTACACTTTTTTATGCACATGTCTACCTGTCTGTGTCTAAATTTTTTTCTCAATGGGATTATTGTTTTACAACTTCTTTTCCCCACTTATTAGTACCTATAGATAGATCTTGTTCTTTTCAATGGCTGCACAGAATTTCTCTGCATATGTAACTCCATATTGATGAATATTTGAGTTTATACTTTTTTTAGATAAAATAAATACTGCTGTAATTCATTCAAGAGCCTTTCAACAAATATCATCAGTCATCTTCTAGGCACTATGCACTAGAGTGAATGTGCGGGGACTGCGGGTGACGTGCAGAAGCCTCAGCCTGCTGCCGGCTGCAGAAGCCTCAGCCTGCTGCCGGCTGCACCAGCCGGGCCTGCTCCTCTGTATATGGGACCTGCTTCTCTGAGGAGACCTACCCACCCATCTTTTTATTTTTTTTTTATTTATTTATTTTTTTTTGAGACAGAGTCTCACTCTGTTGCCCGGGCTAGAGTGAGTGCCATGGCATCAGCCTAGCTCACAGCAACCTCAAACTCTGCGGCTCAAGTGATCCTCCTGCCTCAGCCTCCTGAGTAGCTGAGGCTACAGGCATGTGCCACCATGGCCGGCTTTTTGTTCTATGTATTTTTAGTTGGCCAATTAATTTCTTTCTACTTTTAGTAGAGACAGGGTCTCGCTTTAGCTCAGGCTGGTTTCGAACTCCTGACCTTGAGCGATCCACCCGCCTCAGCCTCCCAGAGTGCTAGGATGACAGGCTTGAGCCACCAGGCCTGGCCCCACCCACCCATCTTATAGCCATGTCCCTGAAGCTGGTATCTTAGGCAGCAGAGGCCACAGGCCCAATATCTGGGAAGCCCAGGCAATGCCCTGGGGCAGGCGGGGCCTGTGTCTTCCAGGTCTGACTTTCTAACCAAACTGTGAGGGAAAGAGCTGAGAAATGGCTATTGTCCTTGTAGCGAGGCGAGCGCAAGGCAAGCCAGCTTCTTCTGGTAACAACTGGATTTGGCACTGCAAACTTATCCAAAATTTGAGGCTGATATCACCATCAAAATTAAACACGGGCCAGGCGCAGTGGCTCACACGTGTAATCCTAGCACTCTGGGAGGCTGAGGTGGGCGGATTGTTTGAGCTCAGGAGTTCGAGACCAGTCTGAGCAAGATCGAGACCCTAATCTCTACCAAAAATAGAAAAAACTAGCAGGGCATGGTGGTGCATGCCTGTAGTCCCAGCTACTCGGGGGTCTGAGGCAGAAGGATCGCTTCAGCCCAGGAGTTTGAGGTTGCTGTGAGCTAGGCTGATGCCACGGCACTCTAGCCCAGGTGACAGAGTGAGACTCTGTCTCAAGAAAAAATAAATAAACAAACAAACACGAACCACTTGCAGACAGGAATCGCAGTAAAGACATTATAGAGCCTTGCCATCCCAGAATTTTGGTTATGTACTGATGAATGAGGAAAGGAACGCCATACATGTGTTAAGTTTACCAAAAGAGTGGGTCTTCTTCAGGCTCAAGTGTCTGCCAGAAGCATTGAGCCAGAACAAAACAACCCGAGCGTCCAGCTCACCCCTCAGAAGCCCAGTTCTGCCTGGCCAATGAGTCAGGAGCCTCTCTTACAAGGCCATAGCATGTTAAAAAGCTTTGTGAATTAAAGATTAATTGTCTGCCGCCATTTCAAAATGGGAAGCAGCGAAGAAAGCAAAGGTTAGAAGATGCTGTACTGGACTGAAGCAGCGTGGAAGACAAAAGGCACAGGAGGAGGCTCTGACTGAGATTCTTGGAGAGGACAAAGTCTACCTGCTTTCTTTTCTGATCCCTAACAACCTACCTGCATCACTACCGCATCTGTCTGGCTCTTCTGGGGGCGGAGGGCAGGGAGGGTCATAAGCAGCCAAGTGCTGGAGTTATCTTCCTCTGACTCTTCCCCAGACCTGTGGTTCTCAACTCTGAGGTCTGGTGTGGCACTCTACCAAGCCCCACCACACACCGCGAAA